TAATTTCAATTGCTACTAATATTCGCGCCTCCCCTAAGACTAACAATTATAAATTGTTAAATTGATTGAGTTTTTGTGTTTGCAGCTTGGACGATGGAGTTTTCATGGATTATCAAGACACGAGACCGGAAATCGAAGCTGTATTTCCGGACGGTCGCATCGCCCATCTGAGGACCACAGCGGATCGCCTAAGGTTCCTCAAATTCCTGGTAAATATTCTAAATTACAACAAATCATTTAGAAACTAGATTATGTTTCGTTGAATGCAAATGATTTCGATTTGTGTTTGTGTTATTACAGAAAAACGGAGCATCCAAAATGCAGAACTAAAATGACGACGTAAAAAAAAATACAGAACTGACCTCTCCTCTTTCTCCACTAAACTTCGATTATCATAACAGAATTGAATCAATCTTTCGACGTCGTCGCTCGCCGTTGTTTTTCAAGACGTCCTCCCTCTGTACAAAGCCGCCTTCTTTCCTCTTTACCCTCGGATCTCGACAAATATTTATTTTCCACCGATGATGATGATGATATGATGATGATATTATGTGCGTGTTTGCATCATGTTTGTCCTCATGGTTGACGCGCTCCGTCGACGCGCTGGCTGGACTCGACGAAGCGCGGCCGAATCCACCACAACTTATCGTCTCTTCAACTCATTTCTCTAAACAAACCCGGACGAAGAAGAAACGCACGCACGGACAACAGCAGCAGCAAAACCGAACGGAGACTCTAGCAAAGACTGTCGTTTTAAAAACCGTGTATTTAAAAAAAGAAAAACATAATATTGAACTTATATATATTATATAAATATTAAGACGAAATATTGCTTGTTGAATAAATTATACGATTACAATCAAATTTACAACTGCTGCAGTTGCAAACTGTTTATTCGAAATCCTGCCACAGCATCAGGTTTATCCTCGGTATCTCGTTTCCGTTGCAATCGTGGAATTCGTTCCTGCAAATCAAACCGTTCATCAAATACAAATTAACAATTATTTCTTTTCTTTTTCTTTACCCAGGAACTCCGGGAAGTTTGAACGCGTTTAGAGCTTGCCTGGCTAGAAGAAAACCATCGCTGTTATCACAGATCATTCTCGACAACGAACTCTTCCTGAGACTCTGCAATTGCTCTGTAGAAACACATCATCATGAATTAATCGTCAAATTAAGAATATTTAAGCAGACGATAAGAAAATGTCTCTAAAGAAACTGTAATTAATTCGTAAGTTATTTGATAATGAAACAGTAACGTTTCTTTTGTGACAGTTTATGTTTCAATGTGGAAATACCTAGAGTGAAGTGGCTGGGATTGACTGAAGGAAATACATCATCATGAATTTATCTTCAAATTAAGAATATTTAAGCAGACGATAAGAAAATGTCTCTAAACAAACTGTAATTAATTCGTAAGTTATTTGAAATTGAAACAGTAACGTTTCTTTTATGACAGTTTATGTTTCAATGTAGAAATAACTAGTGTAAAGTGGCTGGGATTGACTGAAGGAAACACATCATCATGAATTTATCGTCAAATTAAGAATATTTAAGCAGACGATAAGAAAATGTCTCTAAAGAAACTGTAATTAATTCGTAAGTTATTTGACAATGAAACAGTAACGTTTCTTTTGTGACAGTTTATGTTTCAATGTGGAAATACCTAGAGTGAAGTGGCTGGGATTGACTGAAGGATCGTGATCGAAGAAGTACTTGTCGCCCTTCTTCAGCCTGAAGAACTGATCGGCGATGATGTCTCTAAAAGTGACACCCAAAATGCTTCCGGCGTGTTTGGACTCCAACAGTCCGCCGACCCAAAGATCGACGTCGTCCACGGAGGAATAGACCGAAGCGAGTTTGGGCCCGAACTGCGCCCCGAAGTCCTTGAAACTCGTGTACCTCGCCTGTCCCACCAGCTGCCTGTAATCGTTGTACGGTCTGAGACCGTGATCGCGACCTCTCTGGATATTCAGGGAAGCCAAATCGACGCCGAAAGGATTACCAGCACGAAACATGTATTTGGTAAGCTGCAAAAGATTGAGATTAAGAAAGAAAAATGTAAGTTTTGTTGAAGATCCAACCGATTCCGAAAGCAGATTGTCGACTTCTTGTATGGGTTCCGTGGTCAACGTGCTCAAGAGTTGATCGTAGAAGAGATGCTTTCGCATTCGACCCGGATAGAACATCGTTTCGGGCAACGAAATCATTTCGTCCATCTTATCAACCCCGTAAATCCTGCAGAAAACACGCAATTCGTTAATGATTTCTATTTCTAAGGATTTAAGATTACTTGAGGAGTCCTTCGACCGTCGAATGACCGAATCTGAATGCGGCTGAAGCGAATTCGTTGGTAACAGAGGGCTCCACCCTCTGGTCATAATCGTAAGAGTAATCGAACTCTTTCAAACCGATGTCGAATTCTTTCATCGCCGCTTCACCTGCAAACCAATTATTCATGGAAACATTGAAAGTGTTGAATTTTGAAACGCACCTAAAAGAGCTGGCAAGAATTCCTTGTAAGTTACCACCTGCATTTCTGCTGTTAAGATTCGCCTGGCTTCCAAGAAAATCTTTTGATCGGACCAACGCGAATTGATTCTGCCCAATTCTCTGGCCAATCTGTTATGTTCTCGCATGAAGAGCGTGTGCAGAGCCACCAAAGAGATCATCTGGTTTGTTCTGCTGTCTCCTGCGAACATTCATTGAACATTAATTGAATTTTATTTTTTTTTTCAGTATTCAGAATTCAAACCTGATTCGAAGCACGCAGATCCTTGCTCCTGAGTGATGCAGGCTTCCGGATCTTTCGAAAGAGGTAACAATTCTCTTCCGAAATCCACGAAGACTTTGAGCATTCCTCCTTGGAAGCTGCGCAGTTCTGCGGTTTGCTCCGGGGTCGATCCGTACACCGAAGAGCCGTCAACGAAATGGGTCACTTTGTTCATCTGGAATTTACAACATTTACAATGGGTAAGAACATTTAAACTCTATACTTGTTGCGCGTATCCTAAAGTGCAGTCGCTTCTCGGCGCCATAACGGATCGCACGAAATTCATGCATCCCTGCTTGAAGAACGAAAAGAAGGGATCTTTCGGTGGGATGTAGATGGGCATGCAAGCGAAGTGTCTGATGTGAGGTGGAAGCTGTAGCGATCCGTCCGGGGTGCAGCAAGAGATTGCGCTTCCGTTCACTGGAATAGGTGATGGTTTTGTCGATTGCAAACGAAAGATGAAGATTACTAATTGTTACCGAAAGTTGAATCTATCGATTGGGTGATGTCGTGCGAGAGGAACTGTCCGTACTGCATCAGCATCAAGGTGATCTCGCGATTGGGGACGTCTCCGTCGGGGAACAGAGCCGTGCTGATTATCCTGGGGCTGTTCAACGGTTGCCCTTGATCTTCGGACACTCTTGGTAACCAAATTCCTAATAAATGTTAAACAATTGATATAATATTTATCATTTTCCTGTAATCAAGTGTAACAATTAAATTTCAAAATTAACAAATGCAACGCTTTTATATTTTATCCTATATCTCGATAACTACTAAGCTAATTGCAAGTAAAATGCGATTTTTAAAGACAAAACTATAGACTTTCCGATGTGTTAACTTTTATATTGCTATTACTTATCGTTATCCTGTAATCAAGTGTCAAGTTAAACAATTAAATTTCAAAATTAACAAATGACAGCTAATTTATCTATACTCGTAATATAGTATTTTATCAACGCCTTATATTTTATCTATATCTCGATAACTACTACAGCTAATTGCAAGCTAAAATGCATTTTTAAAGAAAAACTATAGACTTTCCGATGTGTTAACTTTTATATTGCTATTACTTATCGTTATCCTGTAATCAAGTGTCAAGTTAAACAATTAAATTTCAAAATTAACAAATGCAACAACGCCTTTATATTTTATCCTATATCTCGATAACTACTACAGCTAATTGCAAGCTAAAATGCGATTTTTAAAGACAAAACTATAGACTTTCCGATGAGTTTACTTTTATATTGCTATTACTTATCGTTATCCTGTAATCAAGTGTCAAGTTAAACAAT